CATATTTTTAAAACTTGTATAGATAATATGGTTTACAAAAATAATCCGACTTTTATCCACTCAATACATAAAAATTAAATACTGTAAACGAATTGACATGTGACTTTTTCCTATGGCATTTTCTGTGACGTTTTTTAGCGCAATTTCCATACGGACAATTGCGATTATTAACTCGTCATTTCTGGATGGATGAATGAATGAATGGATGTGTGTCCGCAGCTTTAAGTCGTATCTCCTCCTCAACGAAGCAATATCGAGGACTAGTTCCAAAGCAAATATGTTAAGCAAGTTCCGAGGATGATTGTGGCCAAAAAAATTCCCGGAATTCCTTCCTGGATTTCCCGGAAAAGCCAAAAACCTCGAAAAAAATGCAGTTTTTGGCCCATATCTCGTCAACCAGACCACTTAGCGACCTGAAATATTTACCAATCGATTCCTGCCATAATTTAGAACAATATTGCCGAAGAAAGTTTTCAAAAATATCCTTTCGTTCGGTCACAAAATTTTTTTAAATATATTTTAAACCGAGCATCGTGTAGGCCTAGGATGATGTTTAAACTGAGGATCGTGTAGGCCTACTCGTTAAAATAAAACTATTTCCGTTGATATAGGTTAATATAGTTGTCTTTTTTTAGCGCAATTTCCATACTGATTTCTATTTTGTTTTGAATTATTAAAACTGTGTTGCATTATTTATTTGCTTAATATATGATTTATCACGATTTAAAATTGTTATGGATAACATAAGGAAATTGCGCTTAAATTGTCACTAGACTTTTTATTAACTTGTTTTCCTTTCATCGTCTCACCCAGCAAGTTTCCGATGTTAGGAAACTCCTATTCAAGATTTGATTCGACACATCACACCCGCTAGACCAGCCACTTGCTCTCCTAGTTTTGATGTTTCATTTTTAAAAATTTGGCAACTATTTATGTCAAGGCTATATAAACAATCATTCTGTGAGTTGTTAAAAACTTCAGGTAGGTCAAGGCAACTGTTTGCAGGTCAAGGCAGGCGAGTTCTGTTTGTCGTTGAAAACATAGACTCACTTAAGTGAACACAGGCGGTAATGTAAAATTATTTTATAACCAGAATTTTTCTAAAATTAACATGGCAGACACGGCCACGAACAATAGTGTACAACATAAAACCAAACAGCAGACGACTGAGTCAGCTCCATAGCGCCACCTGTTGGCTGATGTGTTGTAATGAAATGCGGGCAGCTATTAGACTTTCAAATTTTTCATTGTTTTGCTTCATTGACGGTAGATTCGTGTTAGAAAATTTAACCAGTTTTTTGACCACCTAAAGTTTTGTAAATTGTTGAATACAATTTTTTAGAATATTAAATAACATTGTGAGAAATTGGCCGGGCTGTTTGTAAAAACTTGGTGGAAATTTACGGATCACTGCGGCGATCTGGGTGTGAGAATGTCCCTCTGTACATGTCTATATGATGTTGCGGTTTGTTGTGATGTGGAGATGTCGTGTCGTGTCCACAAATAGATGTGAGCGAGGGAGAATTGATGTGGTGATGATTTAATTTTAACCTTACAGTGTGAATATCAGACTGAAGGGAAAGGGTAAGGGTGGCTTTTTTTTTTGGACAAACGGGTATTGTCATTTTGGGGTGGTGGTGGGGGAGTGGGGTAGAGGCGAACTACTCTCAGGTGTGAAGGATTTAGAGGTGCGTCCTAGGTTAACATTGTCTCTTATGCTAACTATATAAGTTCTAGGTTAAGGGTGTGTCTGAGGCTAACTAAGTGCTCTAGGCTAACTATGTGCCCTAGACTAACCTAACTTAGCCTGTACTGAACTAACCTTAAAACTTGAGCCCGATCAGATGACGGGGCTATAGCTCTCTGAAACAGCGCCTAGTTTCCTATTGTCTATTGTGAGCTCAAGCGTTTAAAGAATTTACGAATTGCAACTAAAACACAATGGTCACACCGGTGAAGAAGGGAGGTAGGGGGGGAGTGGGAATGGATTTGTACCACGTGCACTGTTCGGTGAAGTGCCGGGACAAAAAGCCGGCATCTGATGTAGTCTACTTGCCGGCAGCTGACGGAGACATGCCGGCTAATTCTCTGGGATAAATTCAAATGAAGCACTTGAACCAACGCCAGAATAATTTGTATCACGTGACGCTTCTAAATATAGAACAATACTAGTTAGAAAGATCTCGATGGATCAGATATATGCCTTACGAGATTTAGATATGGCCATACAGACTACATCAGTAGAAGGTAATATTATGATCAGTGGGTTTTTTTTTAAAATCAGTTTCTGATTTGACAAGTCCCAGGGATTTTTCACTCATTCGTCCGTTTTTGTTGTTTGTTAGATTTTTTAATAAAACAAGGTTAGTTGCCGGAAACGCAGTAAAGTATAACATTTTAGCCAATGTAAATGTTTCGTCAATTTAAAAGGTGTTCAACTAAAATTAAAAGAAAATAAATTTGGTACATCACGTGGTAGAGTGAGAAGTGAAAAAAACTAACTAGCCGTAATTGCCCAACACCAAGATGGCAACCTGATACTGCGTTGCCAGGGTTTTAAAATTATATTAATGCTGCGAGAACGTTCTACACATTTCGTATGGGGGGGGGGGAGGTTAATGGCATCTCGTAAATTCATACCACTGTGATGGATTATTTTTTAACATTTTGCATGTCAAAAATATAATACAATATGTTAACATTCTTTTCAGAAACTAATTTTTCTGCTGAGGGGGGAGACACTGATGGAAGGGTGAAAGGTCAGTGTGGGTTTTAAGTAGTGCTAAGGGAAGTAATGCTGTGGATAAAGGGAATTAATGCTCGATATAAAGGGCAGTAACTTCTCTGAGGGAAGCTACACTGATGGGGAATGACGTAAAGTTAATTCAACTTAATTGTAAGGGAAATGATGCTGTGGATAAAGGGAATTGGTGCTCAAAATAAAGGACAGTAACCCTAGTGCTAAAGGAAATTACACTGATGAGAAATGACGTAAAGTAAATTGTAAGGGAAGTAATGCTGTAATACATGAGGACACGGACATGCGCAGTACGTTATTATCTAATTGCCGTATGTATCAGACGGATCTATCAGATCACATCTCTAAATGTTTCCCGCCAAACTTCTCCTCACGTCAACTTAAAGCATGTACTCAACTACTAAATAGATGAGCCCCCCCCCCCCCCAACACCACCTGTCTCGCATGATGAACTGAATGATCTCCCTTAACGTTTCATCTCTCGCCAAGTGCCGACAACTTCGACTTTCTCTTCCAATTATCTCGACATGTTCACCAGCATGTCCTTGGCCGGATGTGTTCCATGTCAGCAAATGCATGGAGAATGTGATTGTGTTCCCTGTCAACTAGTAGAGAATGTGATTGTGTTCCATGTCAACTAGTAGAGAATGTGTATGTGTTCCATGTCAACTAGTAGAGAATGTGTATGTGTTCCATGTCAACTAGTAGAGAATGTGTATGTGTTCCATGTCAACTAGTAGAGAATGTGTATGTGTTCCATGTCACAGAGAATGTGATTGTGTTCCATGTCAACTAGTAGAGAATGTGTATGTGTTCCATGTCAACTAGTAGAGAATGTGATTGTGTTCCATGTCACAGAGAATGTGTATGTGTTCCATGTCAACTAGTAGAGAATGTGATTGTGTTCCATGTCAACTAGTAGAGAATGTGTATGTGTTCCATGTCAACTAGTAGAGAATGTGTATGTGTTCCATATCACAGAGAATGTATATGTTCCATGTCACAGAGAATGTGTATGTGTTCCATATCACATAGAATGTATGTGTTCCATGTAAACAAGTAGAGCATGTGAATGTGTTGCATATCAACTAATACATTAAGAATGTGTATATCAACCAAAAGAGAATGTTTATATGTCCTTGTCTTTCTGTTAACTAATAGAGACTGTATGTATTCGTGTTAATCAATGCACGGAGTGTGGTTTATACATCAACTATTAAGGAATGTTTATTAAGTATTCCACTCCAAAGAGAATGTGTATGTGATTTATGCGAACTACGAGAGAATGTGTATGTGATTTATGTCAACTAAAATATGGAGAACATGTATGGCTGAAAACAAGGCCAGTAACCATTAATGCTGCATCACGCCATCTTTATTTTCTACTTAACTACCGCAACCTAAGCGTTTGTTGTTTTACTATTTCGATTGTAGAGTCATTGAATGATATTCAAACACACACACATATATATATTTAATCAACCCCTGGTCGAATAATGTTGAATTTCACCCCATTAAATGCAAGAATAACCACCCAGCTTCATTTCTTCAAGGACAGGTCTGTTCGCATATTAATCACTTTACTCTGTTAGTGTTAGACAGTTCACATTTTTAAACTGCTACCGGCTTTTGAAGTTCCGCACTGTTGATAAAGCTATTCATACTTTTAGTGCTACCAAATATTTTAACTACAGAAACCTCGCTAGCATCAAATGTTTCAATGTACCTCAGCCGACCATTTCACCGCTTTTGTCTGCTAGAATAATATCTATATAATAATGCCCCCCACCCTAATAGACCCCGCGAACAGTTAAAACATCTCGAATGTTCTCGAGTGAAACTAAACCACTCAAAAACTGGGGGAGAACTCAAGCGGGGTAACTCCCGTGGCCCGGTGGGAGGCTATTACAATTTCATTTCAAATGGCAACAACAGTTTTCTATCTGCCGCGTATCCTATTTGTTATTACTTCATAGCAGCCTCGTTTTGATCCCAGACTTCTGTCCATATAGACAGGCATTATCACGCTTTTTATGCCATCATTTCAGTAAAGGCAAAAATATTGGAATTTTTCCTACAGTGAATATAATATAACATAAATGAGTTGCAAACGTTGAATCAACTCACAGCATTAGTGCGCTAAAACATCCAGAGGAAGCTAAATCTATGATGAACGAAAGCTTATCCATTACTGGATTATCTACCGCTTAAAACTTGTGGATACAGTTCCGGTCTAGTGGCTTCAGCTTCGTTCAGAGCTTCCTCTATCAACAAATATGGCGGACTAATGTTTTGAGGACAGCCCGCTGTTTGAGACAGCTCATTAAAATTGTTCGCGACGGTTTCAACAACATTGTTAAAGGGACATAACTCTAGACTCAAGATGGTCGGTTTGTTTACAAACATTAAAATTCGTGTCAGAGAAGGGCTTTATTGAAGCATAATTAGCCAGGTAACTGTTAACCTTTCATACATGTGTTTTTGTTGCTGGTAGTCGTCTGTGCACGGTATCGATACTGGCATGATTCAATCGCTACTAGCGATGTATAGTGATGATATGCATCTTGACATGTATAAAATTAGTCATTTTAAAGAGTTGTTTTTATACTAATGTCAATGCCGTTATCTCGAAAACTGGTCCCTAAGATGAACCAGTTAGGCTGTTAAAGTAAATGACGGCTAAATCTTGCTCGGTGAAACCAGCACTAACCCAAACCATCAGACTTAATAAAGCTTAACCTTAGCTCTCAATCAGTTAACTGACTGATCCCAAGCACTTAATCAGTGAACGGACATGATAGTGCTACAAACAACTAAACAAACATATTGTTTGGGGAGTTCATTAGTCAAACAATAGTAGGGGAAATTACCTAGACGCCGACAATGGAAGTAACTATATAGTTGTCGTCTGCCAGCCGTCTGGTCATAGAACTGACGACGGTTCAATGAAACCTTGGATAGTCTTTATTTTTCGACGACAGAACTTTGTGCTATTCTAGAATCTAGAATCTAGATTGACATGGATTTTAAAAAATATTAAGTCTTGCCACTCCTTAGACTAGAGGTCTCCAAACTTTTAGTACTACGCTTCACTTAATTTTTTAAAAATCTACCACTACTTCTATAGATGGTGGACACTCTAGTAGTACATGGTGTTGTAGTACTCGGGATTGTAGTACTTGGTGTTGTAGTACTCGGGATTGTAGTACTTGGTGTTGTAGTACTCAATGTGGTAGTCCTCGGTGCTGCTAGGTAGTCGGTATTGTAGTGATCAGTGTTGTAGTACTTGGTGTTGTAGTACTCTGTGTTGTAGTACTTGGTGTTGTAGTGCTTGGTGTTGTAGTACATGATGTTCTAGTCCTTGGTGTTGTAGTAATTGATGTTGTAGTACTTGGTGTTGTAGTACTCGGGATTGTAGTACTTGGTGTTGTAGTACTCAGTGTGGTAGTCCTCGGTGCTGCTAGGTAGTCGGTATTGTAGTGATCAGTGTTGTAGTGCTTGGTGTTGTAGTACATGATGTTCTAGTCCTTGGTGTTGTAGTAATTGATGTTGTAGTATTTGGTGTTGTAGTACTTGGTGTTGTAGTACTCTGTGTTGTAGTACTTGATGTTTTAGTGCTTGGTGTTGTAGTACTCTGTGTTGTAGTACTTAATATTGTAGTGCTTGGTGTTGTAGTAATTGATGTTGTAGTACTTGGTGTTGTAGTACTTGGTGTTGTAGTACTTGGTGTTGTAGTACTCTGTGTTGTAATACTTGGTGTTGTAGTACTTGGTGTTGTAGTACATAATGTTGTAGTGCTTGGTGTTGTAGTACATGATGTTCTAGTCCTTGGTGTTGTAGTACTTGGTGTTGTAGTACTTGATGTTGTAGTGCCTGGTGCTGTAGTACTCTGTTTTGTTTTATAAAATGTTCCTGACAACATAAAGCTAAATGTACCGACCACTAAACTTAATCAGATCCATTACTTGACATTGTTTTATCCACACTGGCCGCTTAACTTACCGAGATTGCAAAATAAGCACTTTATAGGACGGAGGGGCCAAGCGATACAGCGCTAGACTGCTAACCCGAAATACACGAGTTCGAATCCAGGTTCAAGTAAGTAGAACGTCCATGAGTCCACCCAAAGTAAAGGCGGCTGACCACACTATCCTTTCAAGAAACATGAACTCTTCTTCATCTGCCCAGTGTCCAATAGAACGCTTGGTCTAAACAGGAATCTTTTACTTTCAAAAAGCACTTTAATCCAGTTATATATTATTGTCTATTCTGAAAATCTTTACCTAGTTTGTTTACCTAGTGATCATTTATCATTTATTTCTATCTTTATAACCTGTTTTATCCCAGAAAAATTCATTTCTTTTAAACATTGGCACCCCCTTCCTCACAAATGTAGACAATAGACAAGGCCTTTGAGAGCGGGGTGGTGGCGTTCTTCCCACGTTGGAAATTATTGCTTAGATTACTCAAAAAAAAAAAAAAAAAAAAAAAAAAAAAAAAGATTACTATTGGGTTTTTTTTTTAATTGTTTGTCCGGGTTTAATTAAAAACTGCCTGAATGGAAGGCTGGCTGAGATGTGAGGGGGGAAAATATTTCATCCGCTTTGTTGCTTTGTTTGATATATTTCATTTGCTTTGTTGCTTTGTTCGATATATTTGATCCGCTTTGTTGCCTTGTTAGATGTTTTGTTTCAGTGACTTTAAAACTAATTTTTTTTGTCATTTTTACAACAGACACAATTTTACACGCTTCGCCATGTGGCAATGTTATCATTTGATTTTTTTTTAATCGCAGGTAGATCTACATTTGTGTGATTGATTGAAACCTGCTTCATCCTTCACCGTGCAGACGTTTTTCTATAGGCCTTCGTAAGCAGGATTTTTATAAAGGTGTTTGTGTTAGTCTGAGCTGTTCGCTGGGGATCTAGTTCAGGTGTGGACCACAACCTTCCAGTGGGATAATCAAGCCCACAGGGATAACTAGACACACTAGGATAATCAAACTTATTGGGATATACGCGCACGTGAGGATTATTAAGTCTACAGGGATTACAATACCAATAGGATACTCACACCCATTCGGATAAGCTATCCCACTAGGATAAACAAGCCAACTAGGATAAACTATCCCATTCGGATAAGCTATCCCACTAGATGACCAAGGACCCACTGGGTACATGATGGATGTCCACTAACTCCACCCCCTACCTGCCGTAAGTGAGCACCATGCTGACCATCTGCCTGCTCGTCCACCTCACCCTCGGGCTGGTCACCGCTGAGGACACGGGCTGCAACTTTGACTACGAGGGCTGCACGTACAACATCTACCTGAGCCCTAAGGACCAGGCCAACATGGGGGGTCGGGACTGTGGGGTCAGGGACCAGCAGCTGCTGTTTGACCGGGCCCAGAACGATTACTCCGCCAAGCTGGACGACATGGAGAAAAATTTCTCTTTTCTCAGGGACGAACACGAACAGAGGATTAAAGTAAGGTTTAACTTTGTCTTGTGGTTAACTTTGTGGTAAACTTTGTCTTATGGTTAACTTTGTGGTTAACTTCATGTGGTTGAATTTGTTCGTGGTTAACTTTGTCTTGTGGTTAACTTTATGGTTAACTTCACGTTGTTACATTTTTTTCGTGGTTAACCTTTAGGTTAACTTTGTGGTTTACTTTGTTCGTGGTTAAATTTCTTCGTAGTTAAATTTGTTATAAATTCCATGTAGTTAAATTTAGGTTTAACTTCACGTTGTTAATTTTGTTCGTGTTAAACTTTGTTTGCGATTAACTTTGTTCGTGTTTAACTTTTTTCGCGGTTAAAGTTCTTCGTGGTTAAATGTGTTCGTGGTTAACTTGGTTATATTTAAGTACATCCTACCCCCTCTTCCCCCATCGGTTAACGTTTTGTTAACTTTGTTGTTTAAATGATTAATATTTTAGTTGAGTGTCAGGTTAACTTTGTTATTAACGTTATCGTTGTTAATTAAGTCAATCTTTAGCGTTGTTCATGGTTAGGCTTCGTTGAACGTCTCTAATGTTTGTGTTTGTGTCTAATGTTTGTTGAATAGAATTCTAATTAGTTTCACCCCATCACTGCTTATGTTTAATGATGTTTAGCTTTTTTCTTTGTTCGTCTGCGTGAGTTGCCTTCTGGTACTGCATACAACCACAAGTCCTAGTTTTCACCCAATCTACCCCCCCCCCCCCCAATATCTCCCATGGCCTAAAAAATTACCTGGTTTGTGTGAGCAGGCCATGCGTACGCTCACTTAATTAGCAGATTTTCTCACACCTGAACCGATTAGCCTCCTGTACCCCAGCCGACCTTATGTCTGCCGGCTGCCCATTTTTTAAATATACTTTACTCATGCTACATGTTGCTACACATCTCACAGTTATGATTTTTATATCTCACAGTTATGATTTTTATATCTCACAGTTATGAGTTCTATAGTGTTGAATATCTTGACAAAGACGGGCCTTTTTGACCTACAATTCTGATGCTCGTAATAGTGTTTCTTTTTTATCTTTAACACAATAGAGCTTTCTTTGACCCCCCCCCCCCACACACACACACGCATACCTACCACGTGACTTCACATCACTCACTGAATTTTCCCCAACCTCACAAACCTCTCTACCTCACTTATTTATTCTCTACTTACTCCCCTCCTCTTCTCGTTCTCTCTCGTACACACATACCCCCCCCCCCCCCCCTATAAATCAACATTTCTTCTTTTCCTCACTCTTTTAAGCAACCCTCTCACGACCCTCTCTACCTCCATCCTCCCCCCACCCCCACATGAAACTATAGTTTCACTTTCTCAGCCACCAGCATACTCCGGCTACTCTAACCTACCCACCCCCACTCCCCACTTACATAACTCCATCATAAAATTAAAAAACAAACAAACGCAAATGTGGTCTGTCACACACCCTCACTACATTAAAGACGACGGCTATTATAATTTAACACGAAAACAACAATACATAATCTTTCGACTTAGAACAGGCCACAACAGACTAAATCAACACATGCACAGAAAACTAAAGGTTGGGTGTAGCGGGATGTGCCCTTGTGGCAAGGCCCCGGAAAACACGGAGCACGTACTCCAGGATTGTACTCTGTATAGCCAGGCAAGAGGCAGACACTGGCCCCAGCCCACCCCACTCAGGGAAAAATTATATGGGGCATCTGACAAACTGGAGACCACAGTCCGGTTTGTCCACGAAGTTGGACTTGTTGTCTGAATCCTCCACCATATTCACAATTAAGAACGAAGAAGAAGAAGAAGAAGACATAACTCCGACTACTCTAACCTACCCACCCCCACTCCCCACTTACATAATTCCGGCTAATCTAACCTACCAACCCCCACTCCCCACTTACATAATTCCGGCTAATCTAACCTACCCACCCCCACTCCCCACTTACATAATTCCGGCTATTCTAACCTAACCACCCCCACTTCCCACTTACATAACTCCGGCTACTCTAACCTAACCACCCCCATTCCCCCCTCTTCCCCCACCCCAGGAGCTGGAGAGCACGGTACGCGAGCTTCTGGGTCTGGACAAGATCAGAGAGAGGGGTAAAGACGACACGGGTCAGTCGCCACTAGGACCCCTGTCATTGGACAATGCTGAGCTAATGGAGAAGTTAGAGGTAAGTCTAATTTAATGGGTCAGTGGTCACTAGACTAACTCAATGTACAAACATGTACAAACTCAATTTGTCAGTCTGTACATGTTTGTACACTATCTTGTTTGCTGAATTTGTATACTTTAATGTATAATGAATTTTCAAAAACCCTATTTGCTGAAGTTTGTATTGTGATTTGAATACTTTGTGATACCAAATATGATATGGATCATTATCTTTCCCGTTCGTGGGGCAGATGAAGTAGAGTTCATCTGTTTCAGAGACTTCAGCATATGAAGGGATAGTGTGGTCAGCAGTATGCCCACCCGCCTTTGTCCTAACGTAAGTTAGGTATCCATCTTCTGACTTGAACCCGTATTTGAAATCGTCAATGATATGTATGTTTCTGCAAAAGAACTTGATATTCGATGCTGTAACAACCACTGTTAGACTAAGTTAGGTATTTGTACCACACATTGTAAAAATGAACCTGATGTTTGTGTTGTGCCCCATATCAACCTAATGTTATGCCCCATATTAACCTAATGTTATGCCCCATATGAACTATTTGTACCACCCACCCTAAACCTGACCTTGATGTACACCCCACAGAACGAGTTCAACAAACTCCGTAAGGAGATCCGAGAGAAAAGCGACGAGCTGCTGGACACAAAGATCCGACTGAACGAGACAAGCACCAAGGTCCAAGAGGTCCAGCTCTCACAGTTCCAGACCAGCCAGGATCTGCTCAACGCCGAGAACCAGGTGAGCGAAACCGTCAGGTAGACATCTGGCTACTAGCCATGTATAGGTGAGATCTTTCTAACCAGCTTGTGACGTCACCAGGATTTTAAAAAAAATATTTGCATGCCGAGTACCAGAGCCCACAGTTGGCTTTACTTTGATCGATTATAATTTCAATCGCAGAAGAGTAAACTAAAGTTTGACCTTGACCTTGCAGATCACCATGTTGCTGAGAGAGAGAGCCATCTTGAAGAATCAGCTGAAGGACCGCTCGTACAAGCTGGAGGTCTCGGGGCAAAAGGCAGCGGAGTGTGAGAACAAGAACGTCAACCAGCAGGAGGAGATGATGAAGGTCAGTGGGTCAGTGGGTTAGTAGGTCAGTCGGTTAGTGGGTCAGTGGGTTAGTTGGTCATTCGGTCAGTGGGTTATTTGGTAAGAGGGTAAATTGGTCAGTGGGTTAGTTGGTCAGTGGGTTAGTTGGTCAGTGGGTTAGTTGGTCAATGGGTTAGTTGGTCAGTGGGTCAGTGGGTTAGAGTGTCAGTCGGTCAGAGGGTAAGTTGGTCAGTATGTTAGTTGGTCAGAGGGTAAGTTGGTCAGTATGTTAGTTGGTCACAGGGTTAGTTGGTCAGAGGGTTAGTTGGTCAGTAGGTAAGTTTGTCAGTGGGTCAGTGTGTTAGTTGAGCGGCCAGTCAGTCAGTTAACCGGTCAGGTGCAATCAGTCAGTTGGTTAGTTAATTGGCCAGTCAGTCGGTCAGTGCTTTTATTTCGGTGACCAAACAATTATTTTAAAGCCCCTTTGAAAATCTACTTCACGCGTTAAATAAACTGCTAGGGCTGAAGCTGTTTTTCACTAAGTTTTACCAAACGCTGCTGAGATACACAGAAAACTTATAGAAATTTATCAAATTCGGGTTTTTTTGGCAAGTATCAGGAGCTCAATTAATCCGTTTACAGGCATCTTGACTGATTCCGTAGCCTTGGTTTTTGGGCACGAGTTAGGGCATAAGCTGAGGCATAAAGCTGGGGCAGCAAGCATTAACGTGCTGGGGCAGCAAGCATTAACGTGCTGGTATTAACGTTCTTGGGCAGCAAGCATTAACGTGCTGGGGCAGCGATCATTAACGTGTTGGTATTAACGTGCTGGGGCAGCAATCATTAACGTGTTGGTATTAACGTGCTGGGGCAGCAAGCATTAACATGCTGGGGCAGCAAGCATTAACGTGCTGGGGCAGCAAGCATTAATCTGCTGGGGCAGCAAGCATTAATGTGTTGTGACAGCAAGCATTAATCTGCTGGGGCAGCAAGCATTAACGTGCTGGGGCAGCAAGCATTAACATGCTGGGGCAGCAAGCATTATTGTGTTGTGACAGCAAGCATTAAACTGATGGGGCAGCAAGCATTAACGTGCTGGGGCAGCAAGCATTAACGTGCTGGGGCAGCAAGCATTAACATGCTGGGGCAGCAAGCATTAATGTGTTGTGACAGCAAGCATTAATCTGCTGGGGCAGCAAGCATTAACGTGCTGGGGCAGCAAGCATTAACGTGCTGGGGCAGCAAGCATTAACGTGCTGGGGCAGCAAGCATTAACGTGCTGGGGCAGCAAGCATTAACATGCTGGGGCAGCAAGCATTAACATGCTGGTATTAACGTACTGGGGCAGCAAGCATTAACATGCTGGGGCAGCAAGCATTAACGTGCTGGGGCAGCAAGCATTAACGTGCTGGTATTAACGTTCTTGGGCAGCAGGCATTAACGCACTGGGGCAGCAAGCATTAACGCACTAGGGCAGCAAGCATTAACGTGCTGGGGCAGCAAGCATTAACGCACTGGGGCAGCAAGCATTAACGCACTAGGGCAGCAAGCATTAACGTGCTGGGGCAGCAAGCATTAACGTGCTGGTATTAACGTGCTTGGGCAGCAAGCATTAACGCCCTGACTTGTCTGTCCTGCAGCTGTTCCGCTCAGAGAACACGCTGAAGGAGGAGCTGATGACCGCCCAGTTGAAGCTGAACATCACCAAGGCGGAACACGAGCAACTGGAGGCCAAACACAACGACCTCAAGGCCAAACACGAGAGGACAAAGTTCATACTGAAGATCAGGGAGAAGGAGCTCATTGACTGCTACCAAGGTAGGTGGGACACGCAGAGACACACAGGCACACGGACATACAGACACACACACACTCAGACACACACACATACTGAAGATCAGGGAGAAGGAGCTCATCGACTGCTACCAAGGTAGGTGGGACACACACAGACACACAGAGACACACAGAGCCACACACACACACACAAATACACACACAGACACAAATGGTGCAGACTTCTAACAGATTTTTGCATAACTTTAAGTTTTAAAAGATTGAAAACCTTCTATCGAGGGTTTCTTTCATGCATCTCTCTGGGAGGGTGGGGCACTGCCCTCTCCCCGGAGTATCCCCTCCCCCCCCCCCCCCACCGCACGCACGCGGACAAAATTTAAAACATATATTATAATAGTTATATAGAAAATATTTACTTAAACCGCCCCCCCCCCCAATTGATTTCAGCTCCCCTCTCCCTATCCAGAGAGAAAATGTCTAAAAGAAACCCACTACCACAAAAAAAGTAACCTGCCCACCCATCAAAACCTAAACCATTCATTAATAATCACTCGTCACTTCATCACTGTCAAGTAAATCTCTAGACATATCTATTCATTAATTAAGATAACTTAATTAACGTAGAATTTCTGCACTTCAGTCTTAGCCAAGTTGAAAGAAAATCGCGAACTTTTTTCTGTCTGCTCTGATAGTTAGCTGTTGGCCTTCAGCAGAAATTGTTCCAGTGAAATAAATTACTGAAATAACCAAAATAATAAACTACCCATTCCACGTGACCTACATCCTTTGTTTAGGTGTTGATGTCGCGAAATTGAATATGGGGCGGGGTGGGTGGATGGTTGGGTGGTTGATAAACATACTGTATGTCATATCACTGACATCTCAGTTCTAAGTTCCTAATGTCAAGTTCTAACGTCGTAACGACAAGTTCCAACGTTCTAATATTCAAGTTCTACATTCCTAATTCTTATGACGCGTTTTAAGTTCTAAATGACAAGTTCTAACGTCCTAACTTTTATGGCAAGTTCTAACGTTCTAATTCTTTTGACAATTTAAAAGTTCTCAATGACAAGTTCCAACGTTCTAACTTTTATGGCTAATTCTAACGTTCTAATTCTTATGGAAAGTTCTAAGTTCTCAATGACAAGTTCTAACGTCCTCTCTTATGACAAGTTCTAACGTTTTAATTCTTATGACAAGTTCTACGTTCTCAATAACAAGTTCTAACGTTCTAATTCTTATGACAAGTTCTAAGTTCTCAATAACAAGTTCCAACGTTCTAATTCTTTTGACAAGTTCTAAGTTCTCAATGACAAGTTCTAACGTTCTAATTCTTATGACAAGTTCTAAGTTCTCAATGACAAGTTCTAACAAGTTCTTACGATAAGTTCTAAGTTCCTATTGTCCATCGACTATTCAGTGTGTCCCAAGTACCAAAGTTACCAGTTACACAGAGATGCCATACACAACAGACCAACAATAGGGAAAACAAACTTGGTTTAGCTTTTGTGGCCAGATAAAGCTATAACAACTCAAGCACGTTGTCACACTTCTCAGCTCCGTGATGGGGGGGGGGGGGGTACAGGGTGGGGGCGCAGGGGGGGGGGACGTCTAACCACAAAGGAGTTTTATATTTCTGTGCACAGAAAAGCACTGGCGTCAACTAATATAAACAAACCAACACGTTACTTCGCGGCATTGTTTACTTATCTAAGTAGAAATTACTTCAGTGACAACTGCGATATGTGTCACGTGATCTGTTACTTAATTTAGAATTGACAGTGTTTACGTTAGTCTTAGTGTTCGGGAAATTCGTTGCTGAACGGATACAATTCTAACTTGGATTGTGCGACATGCAATGTTTGTTCTTCTTCTTCGTTCCTAATTGTAATGTTGTACGGGGTTTCCTCCAACATAATTAAGAACTACGAGTCAACCCCCACTCCCCACTTACATACCTTGTGTCATATCTTTTTACTTTCTCGTATATACGAAGTATAGAGAAAGTCTTGTAATCGTGCAAAAAAAAATCGAGATTTTTACAAATCTCGACGTTTTACACCTCACTGATACGGAAAAAAATAATTTTGCAATCTTGTCCGTATGTCTGTGTGTCTGTCTGTCTGTGTGTGTGTCTGTCTGTGTGTAAACACGATAACTTGAGTACCGTTACAGCTAGGTTGATGAAATTTCATATATAAGTATTTTATCAAAATCGTAGATCCGTATCAACTTTTGAGCGATTTCCGATAACCGGAAGTGGTACTTTTTCAAAAGCCTATAACTTGAATACTATTTCAGATAGATAAATGAAATTTCATATGTAAGTAAAAGATCTAATTCTCTACCTTCTGTCAAATTTTGAGTAATGTCCGTTGACCGGAAGTACTAATTTACGCTATTTCCGATTGCTCAAAAAACGCTTGTAAATTTATAAAGTACTAATAATATTGCGCACTATTATGCACATTTTGTTTTGGCGTTCGCTTGGTGCGCAATTCTTTTTTCTATGAGATTCTATTCTATTTTTAAAAGTTTAAGTAATTAAAAATCATGTCTATATTCCAAGTTATATAAGAATATTCGAGAAAGTTTAGAGGAGATCACTCCCGGTTTATTCAACATGCCTTCAGTAGCGTTCCTTAATTAAAGGCACTAAGTCTTTTGTCTGCCTTACATCTGCTGTGTCTGCTCCATGTCTGCTTTATGTCTGCTGTTTGCATGCTTTATGTCTGCTATGTGTATGCTTTATGGCTGCTCTATTATTGCTCCAAAAATGTTATGACATCACAAGGGTTAAACACAACACATAATTCAAGAACTAAACACCGAACAACCAAACATTACAAAGTTAACAGACGAATGGCTTATCAGCCCAAGGTCAAGGGTGCCTCCATGTGGTAATGATAACCCCACGGGTTCAATAAAAAACTTCAGGTTATGACCGCCACGATATCTCCCCCACCCCCAGACAACCACCCCACATAACCGCGCGGGTTCAATAAAAAAAAACTCCAGGTTATAACCGCTATTATATCACCCCCACCCACCCCCACCCCCACCCCTTTACCTGCATGAAGAGCCTGCTATCTCATGCTCCTTACATTCAGTGGGAGATTTATTGATCGAGACCTTAAATAGTTCCAGAATCTTCTAGCTCTAAAATCAAGTCGACATCTTCTTTAAAACTTTGTATCTCCCCCACAATTACATCGTTTTCGTTTTCTCTGAAAGCTTAAGATCTACATGCTAGGCAACACATGGGGGGGGGGGGGCGTATTAAAAAAAAGAGGGGCGCCGCGCAGATAAAAAAAACAATCTGGGTCTCTGTGATTAGTACGACTGTTAAGATTTAGCTATAATTGTATGGCCACAATTAAAAGACCCTAAATTTCTTCCACTCCCACCCCCTCAATTCGTTCAAAAGTTACGTAACTAGACGTTCATTGTTTTTTTTTAACAAAAAGAACAGTAACTGGAACCTGTGATAATCTCTAACATCATCATTTTTCATTCGTGCCCAACACACACAGGGCAGATGAAGTAGAGTTCATCTGCTTCAGAGACCTCAGAGTATGAAAGGATAGTGTGGTCAGCACTATGCCCAGCCGCCTTTTGTTTCCCCAACGTAAGTTAGGTACCCATCAGAGCTGGGTGGATTCAGGGACGTTCCACTGATTTGAACCCGGATTTGAACTCGAGACTCTCGTGTTAGCAGTCTAGCTTCTCTCACCTTCTCTCATTTATATTATCAAATATTGTTGTGTATTTTAGACCTCACCTGTAACTCGTCAGTCTCATTTCTTCCACCCCCACCCCTCAATTCGTCCAACAGTTACGTAACTAGACGCTCATCTTTTTTTAAACAAAAAGGAACAGTAACTGAAACTATTGATAATCTCTCATGTCGTTTAGCTGTATTCAACCTCTTCATATCTCACTATCAATGTGTTTCTCAACAGTCTGTCCTTTAAATTTAATTTTCTATGCACGAACACGTCATACCCGACCCAGGCGCCATAGGAAGTGTCGCTATGTAAAGTTATATTTTTTAGGCGACACTTTTATCTTTCAAACAAAGTGTAATTTTAGCAAACAAATCACGTGACGTCTAGCGTTGACTGACGGGCGGGGATTATATAATAGACATAGAAATGTCAAGAGAGTACGTTTGAATTAGAGATGAGTTGAACATCTTTAGCTGTCAGCTGGCTGTTCCACGGCCGATCGGGTTACATGGCCGTGATACGGGAACAAAAGTATGTGACGTGTGTGTCGTGTATTGGGTAATGGGTAGTAAGTTAGTGGGTAGCGGGGTAGTGGGTGGTGGGGTTGTGAATGTAGTGGGGTAGTGAATGTAGTAGGTTGGTAGTGGGGTAGTAGGGCTAGTTAATGTAGTGGGGTAGTGGGGTTAGTGGATGTAGCGGGGTATTGGGACTACAAAATGTAATGTTGTACAAGAGCTACAACGTAAGAAGCTGTAACAGAAGAAGCCAGGCTACAAGCGGACTTAAGATCTTCACTCCTGACCTACCAACTTTACCAACCGCTTGCCCTACAGCCCATTAGATTCTAATGAAGGAATTTTCTTACAGGCTCTGGTTTCTCTAGCAGCCATCTAACGCCTGCCAACATCTGTTGCTGTGTAACCTCAGCCTGCGTCTGTTTTATGTCGGTTTTCTTATCACAACTGCTGGGGACAATACAAATTTACACATGCATTTGGTTTATATTAGTGTGTATAAACATTAGGTGTACACGAGCAGTAGATATGCACGAACATTAGGTGTACAGAAATATATTAGCTATACACAAACATTAGATTTACACAAACAGGTGTACACAAACGTTGGTGGAGACAAACATTTGGTGTATTCTTCTAAAAACGTATACACATATAAGATTAAATAGACATTACTAAAAATCAACCATTATGATTAAGCAATAACAACCAAACATAGTTTAATTAGTTGTGTGTAGGTACTCTATATTAGAAAGTGAAAAAGCCGTAAGTAACTATTCAG